CTTCCCAAGGCCTTTTTTTCTTCCCTCTCCTGCCCCAAGCCCTCCCAGATCCAAGCCGCGATTTTTTCTTTTTCCTTTTTATGCTAATCAGGCGGGATTCAAACCCGTCACCTCTTTGTTTGCCAATTCATTACCAATTCAATACTTATGCCAATTGCGCTATCCTGGCTCGGTTACAAATTCAATGGTTTTTGTATGTTATTCATATGCAAATCAAATTCTTGCCCCTGATTGGCTGTTGAAATAATGACATCATGAACCTTCGGCCCCAGAGGTCCTGAGGTCCCTGAGGTCCCATACAGGTCCAAGAACCAAAACAAACCAAAGTCAACCAAACATAATGAAACTGTAGCCTTCTCGGCTTTGCAGCCTCCTTTTAATCAGGATTCTTGTATCTTTCTGACGGCTGGTACATTTAAAAAGCACTTAGCGCTTTCATTTTTTTTTCCGACGGGCAATTTTGATTTTAGCTGTAAGTTGATTTTAGGTGTAAGTTTGAAATACTTGAAATGTCCGTCGGTGCGTTTGCTTTCCGTCGGTGATCAAGAAACAGTTTTGTACCGTTAACAGTGATCAACATCAATTTATCAATTTTTTTCTATATATCCTACCAGTGAACGGTATCAATCAAAAGGCTGAAAATAGAGAGGAAACTGCTCAGCAAAAAAACATTGTGACTTCTAGTCAAATTCTCTCGTTAGCGCCAGATGAACGGTAAAGAAATGAGTATGGAGAATGTGCATGTTAATCTCGCGCCATTTACAAGTGTTCCTGTAACAAGCAAAATTGATCTTATAAATGAAAACATGAAGTTTATGTCACTTTTTAATGGATTTGGAGCCAGCAATGTGACCCTTCGAAAACAAGAAAAAGCGTTCTTCTCTAACTGGGCAACTACAGTACCCTAGTCTGAATCTGGTACCCTTATAACTGCAATAGGAAATCTGCAAGTAGCACTGTAAATCATACTAAAATGCTACCGATGCGACCAGAAACTTGGATAGAACCGTGAAATCAGCCCTGAAAAGATCATAACAAGGTCATATCCTGTGTCCTAAGGCAGCTAAAGACTTTTTCAGAATGAAATATACTTACATCCTCTTGCTTGAGACATCACAAGAGTCCCAGGGACATTTCCAGGAGATCTCCATCAGTGTCCAACTTGACCCAAAAAGTCACTTGACAAGATGAACCAAACAAACATTGTTTGCCCGGCCTATTGACGATTAGTAATTCCATCAGGTCGGGTTTCTTTCGCGAGCAAGGTTAATTCAAGCTATTTTCAATCCAGTCTTAAAATCAGGCTGTTAAATGTCCCCAAGGTCCATGAGCAATAAAGAAAATTCTCCAACTTCAGACGAGCAGTTTGCAACTTCATGGTCAGTTTATCCACTGCATTAAAGAAAGGAACGTACTATAAGTAGACTAACTCGCGAAGTTGAATGTGGGAAAAAGCGTCCTGTGGGTCTCAAAGTGTGGAAAGTTGATCCTGAGTAATGACAAATGTATAATCATAAATTTCGCTTGTTTCTTCGCACACGTCTTTTTTCCGTTTTTTCTTACGTGAATGCATCCTTTTCTAAAAGTGCTTATTTTGAGTCAAGAATTTTATAAAAGTAAAAGAAAAAAAATTGTGCTGAGCAGCAAAACCCTCCTGGGTCTAGCCTGCGAGCAAGGTCTCTCACTGCCCACCCACCAACCTCCCCAATCCCGGCAGCAAGGACCTTGCTCGCAGGCTGAACCCCTCCTTTCCCCTCCCTTTCCCCTTCCCTTCCTTCCTTCCCTTCCCCCTCCCTTCCCTTCCCTTCCCCCTCCCATCCCTCCGCCCTCTACCTATCTACCTATCTACCTACCCCCCCTCTACCTACCCTCTACCTATCTACCTATCTACCTATCTATCTATCTACCTACCCCTCTACCTATCTACCTACCCCCCTCCCCCCTGCCCCTCTCCCTGCCCTCCCCAGCCCGCCCCGGGCCGGTGTATAACTCCCGCTTCCCATACCCTTCCCAAGGCCTTTTTCTTCCCTCTCCTCGCCCCAAGCCCTCCCAGATCAAGCCGCGATTTTTTTCTTTTTCCCTTTTTATGCTAATCAGGCGGGATTCAGAACCCGTCACCTCTTTGTTTGCCAATTCATTACCAATTCAATGCTTATGCCAATTGCGCTATCCCGGCTCGGTTACAAATTCAATGGTTTTTTTTTGTATGTTGTTCATATGCAAATCAAATTCTTGCCCCTGATTGGCTGTTGAAAATAATGACATCATGAACCTTCTGGCCCAGAGGTCCCTGAGGTCCCTGAGGTCCCACAGGTCCAAGAACCAAAACAAACCAAAGTCAACCAAACATAATGGAAACTGTAGCCTTCTCGGCTTTGCGAAAGCCTCCTTTTAATCAGGATTCTTGTATCTTTCTGACGGCTGGTACATTTAAAAAGCACTTAGCGCTTTCACGTTTTTCCGACGGGCAATTTTGATTTTAGCTGTAAGTTGATTTTAGGTGTAAGTTTTGAAATACTTGAAATGTCCGTCGGTGCGTTTGCTTTCCGTCGGTGATCACAAGAAACAGTTTTTGTACGGTTAACAGTGATCAACATCAATTTACATTCTCGCTATATATCCTACCAGTGAACAGTATCAATCATAAAGGCTGAAAAATAGAAACTGCTCAGCAGCGAAAAAAACATTGTGACTTCTTAGAAAATTCTCCTCGTTAGCGCCAGATGAACGGTAAAGGAATGAGTATGGAGAATGTGCATGTTAATCTCACGCCATTTACAAGTGTTCCTGTAACAAGCAAAATTGATCTTATAAATGAAAAACGCGAAGGTTATGTCACTTTTAATGGATTTGGAGCCAACAATGTGACCCTTCGAAAACAAAAGCGTTCTTCTCTAACTAGGCAACTACAGTACCCTAGTCTGAATCTGGTACCCTTATAACTGCAATAGGAAATCTGCAAGTAGCACTGTAAATCATACTAAAATGCTACCGATGCGACCGAAACTTGGATAGAACCGTGAAATCAGCCTGAAAGATCATAACAAGGTCATATCCTGCGTGTCCTAAAGGCAGCTAAAAGACTTTTTCCAGAATGAAATATACTTACATCCTCTTACTTGAGACATCACAAGAGTCCAGGGACATTTCAGGAGATCTCCATCAGTGTCCAACTTGACCCAAAAGTCACTTGACAAGATGAACCAAACAAACATTGTTTGCCCGGCCTATTGACGATTAGTAATTCCATCAGGTCGGGTTTCTTTCGCAGGCAAGGTTAATTCAAGCTATTTCAATCAGTCTTAAAATCAGGCTGTTAAATGTCCCCAAGGTCCATGAGCAATAAAGAAAAATTCTCCAACTTCAGACGAAGAGCAGTTTGCAACTTCATGGTCGGTTTATCCACTGCATTAAAGAAAAGGAACGTACTATAAATAGACTAACTCATGAAGTTGAATGTGGGAAAAAGCGTCCTGTGGGTCTCAAAGTGTGGAGAAGTTGATCCTGAGTAATGACAAATGTATAATCATAAATTTCCTTGTTTCTTCGCACACGTCCTTTTTCCGTTTTTTTTCTTACGTGAATGCATCCTTTTCTAAAAGTGCTTATTTTGAGTCAAAATTTTATAAAGTAAGAAGAAAAAAAAATTGTGCTGAGCAGCAAAACCCTCCCAGGTCTAGCCTGCGAGCAGGTCTCTCACTGCCCACCCACCCAACCTCCCCAATCCCGGCAGCAAGAGACCTTGCTCGCAGGCAAACCCCCTCCTTTTCCCCTCCTCCCCTTCCCTTCCCTTCCCTTCCCTTCCCTTCCTTCCCTTCCCCTAGCCATCCCTCCGCCCTCTACCTATCTACCTATCTACCCCCCTCTACCTACCCCTCTACCTATCTACCTATCTACCTATCTATCTATCTACCTACCCCTACCCTATCTACCTACCCCCTCCTGCCCCCCCCCTCTCCTGCCCTCCCCCAGGCCCGCCCCCGGGCCGGTGTACCAACTCCCGCTTCCCATACCCTTCCCAAGGCCTTTTTTCTTCCCTCTCCTCGCCCCAAGCCCTCCCAGCCTCAAGCCGCGATTTTTTTCTTTTCCCTTTTTTATGCTAATCAGGCGGGATTCGAACCCGTCACCTCTTTGTTTGCCAATTCATTACCAATTCAATGCTTATGCCAATTGCGCTATCCCAGCTCGGTTACAAATTCAATGGTTTTTTGTATGTTATTCATATGCAAATCAAATTCTTGCCCCTGATTGGCTGTTGAAAATAATGACATCATGAACCTTCGGCCCAGAGGTCCCTGAGGTCCCTGAGGTCCCAGGAACCAAAAACAAACCAAAGTCAACCAAACATAATGGAAACTGTAGCCTTCTCGGCTTTGCGAAAGCCTCCTTTTAATCAGGATTCTTGTATCTTTCTGACGGCTGGTACATTTAAAAAAGCACTTAGCGCTTTCACGTTTTTTCCGACGGGCAATTTTGATTTTAGCTGTAAGTTGATTTTAGGTGTAAGTTTTGAAATACTTGAAATGTCCGTCGGTGCGTTTGCTTTCCGTCGGTGATCACAAGAAACAGTTTTTGTACCGTTAACAGTGATCAACATCAATTTTATCAATTTTTTTCGCTATATATCCTACCAGTGAACAGTATCAATCATAAAAGGCTGAAAATAGAGGAAACTGCTCAGCAGCGAAAAACATTGTGACTTCTAGTCAAATTCTCCTCGTTAGCGCCAGATGAACGGTAAAGAAATGAGTATGGAGAATGTGCATGTTAATCTCGCGCCATTTACAAGTGTTCCTGTAACAAGCAAAATTGATCTTATAAATGAAAAACGCGAAGGTTATGTCACTTTTAATGGATTTGGAGCCAGCAATGTGACCCTTCGAAAACAAGAAAAAGCGTTCTTCTCTAACTAGGCAACTACAGTACCCTTGTCTGAATCTGGTACCCTTATAACTGCAATAGGAAATCTGCAAGTAGCACTGTAAATCATACTAAAATGCTACCGATGCGACCGAAACTTGGATAGAACCGTGAAATCAGCCTGAAAGATCATAACAAGGTCATATCCTGCGTGTCCTAAGGCAGCTAAAAGACTTTTTTTCCAGAATGAAATATACTTACATCCTCTTACTTGAGACATCACAAGAGTCCCAGGGACATTTCCAGGAGATCTCCATCAGTGTCCAACTTGACCCAAAAGTCACTTGACAAGATGAACCAAACAAACATTGTTTGCCCGGCCTATTGACGATTAGTAATTCCATCAGGTCGGGTTTCTTTCGCAGGCAAGGTTAATTCAAGCTATTTCCAATCCAGTCTTAAAATCAGGCTGTTAAATGTCCCCAAGGTCCATGAGCAATAAAGAAAATTCTCCAACTTCAGACGAAGAGCAGTTTGCAACTTCATGGTCAGTTTATCCACTGCATTAAAGAAAAGGAACGTACTATAAGTAGACTAACTCGCGAAGTTGAATGTGGGAAAAAGCGTCCTGTGGGTCTCAAAGTGTGGAGAAGTTGATCCTGAGTAATGACAAATGTATAATCATAAATTTCGCTTGTTTCTTCGCACACGTCCTTTTTTCCCGCTTTTTTTCTTACGTGAATGCATCCTCTTCTAAAAGTGCTTATTTTGAGTCAAGAATTTTATAAAAGTAAGAAGAAAAAAAAAATTGTGCTGAGCAGCAAAACCCTCCCGGGTCTAGCCTGCGAGCAAGGTCTCTCACTGCCCCACCCCACCCAACCTCCCCCAATCCCGGCAGCAAGAGACCTTGCTCGCAGGCTAGACCCCTCCCTTCCCCTCCCTTTCCCCCCTCCCCTTCCCTTCCCTTCCCTTCCTTCCCCTCCCTTCCTTCCTTCCCTTCCCCTCCCATCCCTCCGCCCTCTACCTATCTACCTATCTACCTACCCCCCTCTACCTACCCCTCTACCTATCTACCTATCTACCTATCTATCTATCTACCTACCCCTCTACCTATCTACCTACCCCCCTCCCGCCTGCCCCCTCTCCCTGCCCTCCCCCCGGCCCGCCCCCGGGCCGGTGTACCAACTCCCGCTTCCCATACCCTTCCCAAGGCCTTTTTTCTTCCCTCTCCTCGCCCCAAGCCCTCCCAGATCCAAGCCGCGATTTTTTCTTTTTTCCCTTTTTATGCTAATCAGGCGGGATTCGAACCCGTCACCTCTTTGTTTGCCAATTCATTACCAATTCAATGCTTATGCCAATTGCGCTATCCCGGCTCGGTTACAAATTCAATGTTTTTTTTTGTATGTTATTCATATGCAAATCAAATTCTTGCCCCTGATTGGCTGTTGAAAATAATGACATCATGAACCTTCGGCCCAGAGGTCCCTGAGGTCCCTGAGGTCCCACAGGTCCAAGAACCAAAACAAACCAAAGTCAACCAAACATAATGGAAACTGTAGCCTTCTCGGCTTTGCGAAAGCCTCCTTTTAATCAGGATTCTTGTATCTTTCTGACGGCTGGTACATTTAAAAAAGCACTTAGCGCTTTCACGTTTTTTCCGACGGGCAATTTTGATTTTAGCTGTAAGTTGATTTTAGGTGTAAGTTTTGAAATACTTGAAATGTCCGTCGGTGCGTTTGCTTTCCGTCGGTGATCACAAGAAACAGTTTTTGTACGGTTAACAGTGATCAACATCAATTTACATTCTCGCTATATATCCTACCAGTGAACAGTATCAATCATAAAAGGCTGAAAATAGAGGAAACTGCTTAGCAGCGAAAAACATTGTGACTTCTAGTCAAATTCTCCTCGTTAGCGCCAGATGAACGGTAAAGGAATGAGTATGGAGAATGTGCATGTTAATCTCACGCCATTTACAAGTGTTCCTGTAACAAGCAAAATTGATCTTATAAATGAAAAACGCGAAGGTTATGTCACTTTTAATGGATTTGGAGCCAGCAATGTGACCCTTCGAAAACAAGAAAGAGCGTTCTTCTCTAACTAGGCAACTACAGTACCCTTGTCTGAATCTGGTACCCTTATAACTGCAATAGGAAATCTGCAAGTAGCACTGTAAATCATACTAAAATGCTACCGATGCGACCGAAACTTGGATAGAACCGTGAAATCAGCCTGAAAGATCATAACAAGGTCATATCCTGCGTGTCCTAAGGCAGCTAAAAGACTTTTTTTCCAGAATGAAATATACTTACATCCTCTTACTTGAGACATCACAAGAGTCCCAGGGACATTTCCAGGAGATCTCCATCAGTGTCCAACTTGACCCAAAAGTCACTTGACAAGATGAACCAAACAAACATTGTTTGCCCGGCCTATTGACGATTAGTAATTCCATCAGGTCGGGTTTCTTTCGCAGGCAAGGTTAATTCAAGCTATTTCCAATCCAGTCTTAAAATCAGGCTGTTAAATGTCCCCAAGGTCCATGAGCAATAAAGAAAATTCTCCAACTTCAGACGAAGAGCAGTTTGCAACTTCATGGTCAGTTTATCCACTGCATTAAAGAAAAGGAACGTACTATAAGTAGACTAACTCGCGAAGTTGAATGTGAAAAAAAAAGCGTCCTGTGGGTCTCAAAGTGTGGAGAAGTTGATCCTGAGTAATGACAAATGTATAATCATAAATTTCGCTTGTTTCTTCGCACACGTCCTTTTTTTCCCGTTTTTTTCTTACGTGAATGCATCCTTTTCTAAAAGTGCTTATTTTGAGTCAAGAATTTTATAAAAGTAAGAAAAAAAAAAAAATTGTGCTGAGCAGCAAAACCCTCCCGGGTCTAGCCTGCGAGCAAGGTCTCTCACTGCCCCACCCCACCCAACCTCCCCCAATCCCGGCAGCAAGAGACCTTGCTCGCAGGCTAGACCCCCCTCCCTTTCCCCCTCCCTTTCCTTCCCTTCCCTTCCCTTCCCTTCCCTTCCCCTCCCCTCCTCCCTTCCCTTCCCTTCCCCCTCCCATCCCTCCGCCCTCTACCTATCTACCTATCTACCTACCCCCCTCTACCTACCCCTCTACCTATCTACCTATCTATCTATCTATCTACCTACCCCTCTACCTATCTACCTACCCCCCTCCCGCCTGCCCCCTCTCCCTGCCCTCCCCCCGGCCCGCCGCCGGGCCGGTGTACCAACTCCCGCTTCCCATACCCTTCCCAAGGCCTTTTTTCTTCCCTCTCCTCGCCCCAAGCCCTCCCAGATCCAAGCCGCGATTTTTTTCTTTTTTTCCCTTTTTTATGCTAATCAGGCGGGATTCGAACCCGTCACCTCTTTGTTTGCCAATTCATTACCAATTCAATGCTTATGCCAATTGCGCTATCCCGGCTCGGTTACAAATTCAATGGTTTTTTTGTATGTTATTCATATGCAAATCAAATTCTTGCCCCTGATTGGCTGTTGAAAATAATGACATCATGAACCTTCGGCCCAGAGGTCCCTGAGGTCCCTGAGGTCCCACAGGTCCAAGAACCAAAACAAACCAAAGTCAACCAAACATAATGGAAACTGTAGCCTTCTCGGCTTTGCGAAAGCCTCCTTTTAATCAGGATTCTTGTATCTTTCTGACGGCTGGTACATTTAAAAAAGCACTTAGCGCTTTCACGTTTTTTCCGACGGGCAATTTTGATTTTAGCTGTAAGTTGATTTTAGGTGTAAGTTTTGAAATACTTGAAATGTCCGTCGGTGATCACAAGAAACAGTTTTTGTACGGTTAACAGTGATCAACATCAATTTACATTCTCGCTATATATCCTACCAGTGAACAGTATCAATCATAAAAGGCTGAAAATAGAGGAAACTGCTCAGCAGCGAAAAACATTGTGACTTCTAGTCAAATTCTCCTCGTTAGCGCCAGATGAACGGTAAAGGAATGAGTATGGAGAATGTGCATGTTAATCTCGCGCCATTTACAAGTGTTCCTGTAACAAGCAAAATTGATCTTATAAATGAAAAACGCGAAGGTTATGTCACTTTTAATGGATTTGGAGCCAGCAATGTGACCCTTCGAAAACAAGAAAAAGCGTTCTTCTCTAACTAGGCAACTACAGTACCCTAGTCTGAATCTGGTACCCTTATAACTGCAATAGGAAATCTGCAAGTAGCACTGTAAATCATACTAAAATGCTACCGATGCGACCGAAACTTGGATAGAACCGTGAAATCAGCCTGAAAGATCATAACAAGGTCATATCCTGCGTGTCCTAAGGCAGCTAAAAGACTTTTTTTCCAGAATGAAATATACTTACATCCTCTTACTTGAGACATCACAAGAGTCCCAGGGACATTTCCAGGAGATCTCCATCAGTGTCCAACTTGACCCAAAAGTCACTTGACAAGATGAACCAAACAAACATTGTTTGCCCGGCCTATTGACGATTAGTAATTCCATCAGGTCGGGTTTCTTTCGCAGGCAAGGTTAATTCAAGCTATTTCCAATCCAGTCTTAAAATCAGGCTGTTAAATGTCCCCAAGGTCCATGAGCAATAAAGAAAATTCTCCAACTTCAGACGAAGAGCAGTTTGCAACTTCATGGTCAGTTTATCCACTGCATTAAAGAAAAGGAACGTACTATAAATAGACTAACTCGCGAAGTTGAATGTGGGAAAAAGCGTCCTGTGGGTCTCAAAGTGTGGAGAAGTTGATCCTGAGTAATGACAAATGTATAATCATAAATTTCGCTTGTTTCTTCGCACACGTCCTTTTTTTCCCGTTTTTTTCTTACGTGAATGCATCCTTTTCTAAAAGTGCTTATTTTGAGTCAAGAATTTTATAAAAGTAAGAAGAAAAAAAATTGTGCTGAGCAGCAAAACCCTCCCCGGGTCTAGCCTGCGAGCAAGGTCTCTCACTGCCCCACCCCACCCAACCTCCCCCCAATCCCGGCAGCAAGAGACCTTGCTCGCAGGCTAGACCCCCCCTCCCCCCCCCCCCTTCCCTTCCCTTCCCTTCCCTTCCCTTCCCCTCCCTTCCCTTCCCTTCCCTTCCCCCTCCCATCCCTCCGCCCTCTACCTATCTACCTATCTACCTACCCCCCTCTACCTACCCCTCTACCTATCTACCTATCTACCTATCTATCTATCTACCTACCCCTCTACCTATCTACCTACCCCCCTCCCGCCTGCCCCCTCTCCCTGCCCTCCCCCCGGCCCGCCCCCGGGCCGGTGTACCAACTCCCGCTTCCCATACCCTTCCCAAGGCCTTTTTTCTTCCCTCTCCTCGCCCCAAGCCCTCCCAGATCCAAGCCGCGATTTTTTTCTTTTTTTCCCTTTTTTATGCTAATCAGGCGGGATTCGAACCCGTCACCTCTTTGTTTGCCAATTCATTACCAATTCAATGCTTATGCCAATTGCGCTATCCCGGCTCGGTTACAAATTCAATGGTTTTTTTGTATGTTATTCATATGCAAATCAAATTCTTGCCCCTGATTGGCTGTTGAAAATAATGACATCATGAACCTTCGGCCCAGAGGTCCCTGAGGTCCCTGAGGTCCCACAGGTCCAAGAACCAAAACAAACCAAAGTCAACCAAACATAATGGAAACTGTAGCCTTCTCGGCTTTGCGAAAGCCTCCTTTTAATCAGGATTCTTGTATCTTTCTGACGGCTGGTACATTTAAAAAAGCACTTAGCGCTTTCACGTTTTTTCCGACGGGCAATTTTGATTTTAGCTGTAAGTTGATTTTAGGTGTAAGTTTTGAAATACTTGAAATGTCCGTCGGTGCGTTTGCTTTCCGTCGGTGATCACAAGAAACAGTTTTTGTACGGTTAACAGTGATCAACATCAATTTACATTCTCGCTATATATCCTACCAGTGAACAGTATCAATCATAAAAGGCTGAAAATAGAGGAAACTGCTCAGCAGCGAAAAACATTGTGACTTCTAGTCAAATTCTCCTCGTTAGCGCCAGATGAACGGTAAAGGAATGAGTATGGAGAATGTGCATGTTAATCTCACGCCATTTACAAGTGTTCCTGTAACAAGCAAAATTGATCTTATAAATGAAAAACGCGAAGGTTATGTCACTTTTAATGGATTTGGAGCCAGCAATGTGACCCTTCGAAAACAAGAAAAAGCGTTCTTCTCTAACTAGGCAACTACAGTACCCTTGTCTGAATCTGGTACCCTTTATAACTGCAATAGGAAATCTGCAAGTAGCACTGTAAATCATACTAAAATGCTACCGATGCGACCGAAACTTGGATAGAACCGTGAAATCAGCCTGAAAGATCATAACAAGGTCATATCCTGCGTGTCCTAAGGCAGCTAAAAGACTTTTTTTCCAGAATGAAATATACTTACATCCTCTTACTTGAGACATCACAAGAGTCCCAGGGACATTTCCAGGAGATCTCCATCAGTGTCCAACTTGACCCAAAAGTCACTTGACAAGATGAACCAAACAAACATTGTTTGCCCGGCCTATTGACGATTAGTAATTCCATCAGGTCGGGTTTCTTTCGCAGGCAAGGTTAATTCAAGCTATTTCCAATCCAGTCTTAAAATCAGGCTGTTAAATGTCCCCAAGGTCCATGAGCAATAAAGAAAATTCTCCAACTTCAGACGAAGAGCAGTTTGCAACTTCATGGTCAGTTTATCCACTGCATTAAAGAAAAGGAACGTACTATAAGTAGACTAACTCGCGAAGTTGAATGTGGGAAAAAGCGTCCTGTGGGTCTCAAAGTGTGGAGAAGTTGATCCTGAGTAATGACAAATGTATAATCATAAATTTCGCTTGTTTCTTCGCACACGTCCTTTTTTTCCCGTTTTTTTCTTACGTGAATGCATCCTTTTCTAAAAGTGCTTATTTTGAGTCAAGAATTTTATAAAAGTAAGAAGAAAAAAAATTGTGCTGAGCAGCAAAACCCTCCCCGGGTCTAGCCTGCGAGCAAGGTCTCTCACTGCCCCACCCCACCCAACCTCCCCCCAATCCCGGCAGCAAGAGACCTTGCTCGCAGGCTAGACCCCCTCCCTTCCCCCCCTCCCTTCCCTTCCCTTCCCTTCCCTTCCCTTCCCCTCCCTTCCCTTCCCTTCCCCCTCCCATCCCTCCGCCCTCTACCTATCTACCTATCTACCTACCCCCCCCTACCTACCCCCCTCTACCTATCTATCTATCTATCTATCTATCTATCTACCTACCCCTCTCCCTATCTACCTACCCCCCTTCCGCCTGTCCCCCTCTCCCTGCCCTCCCCCGCCCCCGGGCCGGTGTACCAACTCCCGCTTCCCATACCCTTCCCAAGGCCTTTTTTCTTCCCTCTCCTCACCCCAAGCCCTCCCAGATCCAAGCCGCGATTTTTTTCTTTTTTTTCCTTTTTTATGCTAATCAGGCGGGATTTGAACCCGTCACCTCTTTGTTTGCCAATTCATTACCAATTCAATGCTTATGCCAATTGCGCTATCCCGGCTCGGTTACAAATTCAATGGTTTTTTTGTATGTTATTCATATGCAAATCAAATTCTTGCCCCTGATTGGCTGTTGAAAATAATGACATCATGAACCTTCGGCCCAGAGGTCCCTGAGGTCCCTGAGGTCCCACAGGTCCAAGAACCAAAACAAACCAAAGTCAACCAAACATAATGGAAACTGTAGCCTTCTCGGCTTTGCGAAAGCCTCCTTTTAATCAGGATTCTTGTATCTTTCTGACGGCTGGTACATTTAAAAAAGCACTTAGCGCTTTCACGTTTTTTCCGACGGGCAATTTTGATTTTAGCTGTAAGTTGATTTTAGGTGTAAGTTTTGAAATACTTGAAATGTCCGTCGGTGCGTTTGCTTTCCGTCGGTGATCACAAGAAACAGTTTTTGTACGGTTAACAGTGATCAACATCAATTTACATTCTCGCTATATATCCTACCAGTGAACAGTATCAATCATAAAAGGCTGAAAATAGAGGAAACTGCTCAGCAGCGAAAAACATTGTGACTTCTAGTCAAATTCTCCTCGTTAGCGCCAGATGAACGGTAAAGGAATGAGTATGGAGAATGTGCATGTTAATCTCACGCCATTTACAAGTGTTCCTGTAACAAGCAAAATTGATCTTATAAATGAAAAACGCGAAGGTTATGTCACTTTTAATGGATTTGGAGCCAGCAATGTGACCCTTCGAAAACAAGAAAAAGCGTTCTTCTCTAACTAGGCAACTACAGTACCCTTAGTCTGAATCTGGTACCCTTATAACTGCAATAGGAAATCTGCAAGTAGCACTGTAAATCATACTAAAATGCTACCGATGCGACCGAAACTTGGATAGAACCGTGAAATCAGCCTGAAAGATCATAACAAGGTCATATCCTGCGTGTCCTAAGGCAGCTAAAAGACTTTTTTCCAGAATGAAATATACTTACATCCTCTTACTTGAGACATCACAAGAGTCCCAGGGACATTTCAGGAGATCTCCATCAGTGTCCAACTTGACCCAAAAGTCACTTGACAAGATGAACCAAACAAACATTGTTTGCCCGGCCTATTGACGATTAGTAATTCCATCAGGTCGGGTTTCTTTCGCAGGCAAGGTTAATTCAACTATTTCCAATCCAGTCTTAAAATCAGGCTGTTAAATGTCCCCAAGGTCCATGAGCAATAAAGAAAATTCTCCAACTTCAGACGAAGAGCAGTTTGCAACTTCATGGTCAGTTTATCCACTGCATTAAAGAAAAGGAACGTACTATAAGTAGACTAACTCGCGAAGTTGAATGTGGAAAAAAAGCGTCCTGTGGGTCTCAAAGTGTGGAGAAGTTGATCCTGAGTAATGACAAATGTATAATCATAAATTTCGCTTGTTTCTTCGCACACGTCCTTTTTTTTCCCTTTTTTTTCTTACGTGAATGCATCCTTTTCTAAAAGTGCTTATTTTGAGTCAAGAATTTTATAAAAGTAAGAAAAAAAAAAATTGTGCTGAGCAGCAAAACCCTCCCGGGTCTAGCCTGCGAGCAAGGTCTCTCACTGCCCCACCCCACCCAACCTCCCCCAATCCCGGCAGCAAGAGACCTTGCTCGCAGGCTAGACCCCCCCCTCCCTTCCCCTCCCTTCCCCCCCTCCTTCCCTTCCCTTCCCTTCCCCCTTCCTTCCCTTCCCTTCCCTCCCTTCCCCTCCCATCCCTCCGCCCTCTACCTATCTACCTATCTACCTACCCCCCTACCTACCCCCCCCTCTACCTATCTACCTATCTACCTATCTATCTATCTACCTACCCCTCTACCTATCTACCCCCCCCCTCCCGCCTGCCCCCTCTCCCTGCCCCTCCCCGGCCCCGCCCCGGGCCGGTGTACCAACTCCCGCTTCCCATACCCTTCCCAAGGCCTTTTTCTTCCCTCTCCTCGCCCCAAGCCCTCCCAGATCCAAGCCGCGATTTTTTTTTTTTTTCCCTTTTTATGCTAATCAGGCGGGATTCGAACCCGTCACCTCTTTGTTTGCCAATTCATTACCAATTCAATGCTTATGCCAATTGCGCTATCCCGGCTCGGTTACAAATTCAATGGTTTTTTTTGTATGTTATTCATATGCAAATCAAATTCTTGCCCCTGATTGGCTGTTGAAAATAATGACATCATGAACCTTCGGCCCAGAGGTCCCTGAGGTCCCTGAGGTCCCACAGGTCCAAGAACCAAAACAAACCAAAGTCAACCAAACATAATGGAAACTGTAGCCTTCTCGGCTTTGCGAAAGCCTCCTTTTAATCAGGATTCTTGTATCTTTCTGACGGCTGGTACATTTAAAAAAGCACTTAGCGCTTTCACGTTTTTTCCGACGGGCAATTTTGATTTTAGCTGTAAGTTGATTTTAGGTGTAAGTTTTGAAATACTTGAAATGTCCCGGTGCGTTTGCTTTCCGTCGGTGATCACAAGAAACAGTTTTTGTACGGTTAACAGTGATCAACATCAATTTACATTCTCGCTATATATCCTACCAGTGAACAGTATCAATCATAAAAGGCTGAAAATAGAGGAAACTGCTCAGCAGCGAAAAACATTGTGACTTCTAGTCAAATTCTCCTCGTTAGCGCCAGATGAACGGTAAAGGAATGAGTATGGAGAATGTGCATGTTAATCTCACGCCATTTACAAGTGTTCCTGTAACAAGCAAAATTGATCTTATAAATGAAAAACGCGAAGGTTATGTCACTTTTAATGGATTTGGAGCCAGCAATGTGACCCTTCGAAAACAAGAAAAAGCGTTCTTCTCTAACTAGGCAACTACAGTACCCTAGTCTGAATCTGGTACCCTTATAACTGCAATAGGAAATCTGCAAGTAGCACTGTAAATCATACTAAAATGCTACCGATGCGACCGAAACTTGGATAGAACCGTGAAATCAGCCTGAAAGATCATAACAAGGTCATATCCTGCGTGTCCTAAGGCAGCTAAAAGACTTTTTTCCAGAATGAAATATACTTACATCCTCTTACTTGAGACATCACAAGAGTCCCAGGGACATTTCAGGAGATCTCCATCAGTGTCCAACTTGACCCAAAAGTCACTTGACAAGATGAACCAAACAAACATTGTTTGCCCGGCCTATTGACGATTAGTAATTCCATCAGGTCGGGTTTCTTTCGCAGGCAAGGTTAATTCAAGCTATTTCAATCCAGTCTTAAAATCAGGCTGTTAAATGTCCCCAAGGTCCATGAGCAATAAAGAAAATTCTCCAACTTCAGACGAAGAGCAGTTTGCAACTTCATGGTCTGTTTATCCACCGCATTAAAGAAAAGGAACGAACTATAGGTAGACTAACTCGCGAAGTTGAATGTGGGAAAAAGCGTCCTGTGGGTCTCAAAGTGTGGAGAAGTTGATCCTGAGTAATGACAAATGTATAATCATAAATTTCGCTTGTTTCTTCGCACACGTCCTTTTTTCCCGTTTTTTTCTTACGTGAATGCATCCTTTTCTAAAAGTGCTTATTTTGAGTCAAGAATTTTATAAAAGTAAGAAGAAAAAAAATTGTGCTGAGCAGCAAAACCCTCCCCGGGTCTAGCCTGCGAGCAAGGTCTCTCACTGCCCCACCCCACCCAACCTCCCCCCAATCCCGGCAGCAAGAGACCTTGCTCGCAGGCTAGACCCCCCCTCCCTTTCCCCCTCCCTTTCCCCCTCCCTTCCCTTCCCTTCCCTTCCCTTCCCCCTCCCATCCCTCCGCCCTCTACCTATCTACCTATCTACCTACCCCCCTCTACCTACCCCTCTACCTATCTACCTATCTATCTATCTATCTATCTACCTACCCCTCTACCTATCTACCTACCCCCTCCCGCCTGCCCCTCTCCCTGCCCTCCCCCGGCCCGCCCCCGGGCCGGTGTACCAACTCCCGCTTCCCATACCCTTCCCAAGGCCTTTTTCTTCCCTCTCCTCGCCCCAAGCCCTCCCAGATCCAAGCCGCGATTTTTTTTTTTTTTTTTTTATGCTAATCAGGCGGGATTCGAACCCGTCACCTCTTTGTTTGCCAATTCATTACCAATTCAATGCTTATGCCAATTGCGCTATCCCGGCTCGGTTACAAATTCAATGGTTTTTTGTATGTTATTCATATGCAAATCAAATTCTTGCCCCTGATTGGCTGTTGAAAATAATGACATCATGAACCTTCGGCCCAGAGGTCCCTGAGGTCCCTGAGGTCCCACAGGTCCAAGAACCAAAACAAACCAAAGTCAACCAAACATAATGGAAACTGTAGCCTTCTCGGCTTTGCGAAAGCCTCCTTTTAATCAGGATTCTTGTATCTTTCTGACGGCTGGTACATTTAAAAAAGCACTTAGCGCTTTCACGTTTTTTCCGACGGGCAATTTTGATTTTAGCTGTAAGTTGATTTTAGGTGTAAGTTTTGAAATACTTGAAATGTCCGTCTCCGTCGGTGATCACAAGAAACAGTTTTTGTACGGTTAACAGTGATCAACATCAATTTACATTCTCGCTATATATCCTACCAGTGAACAGTATCAATCATAAAAGGCTGAAAATAGAGGAAACTGCTCAGCAGCGAAAAACATTGTGACTTCTAGTCAAATTCTCCTCGTTAGCGCCAGATGAACGGTAAAGGAATGAGTATGGAGAATGTGCATGTTAATCTCACGCCATTTACAAGTGTTCCTGTAACAAGCAAAATTGATCTTATAAATGAAAAACGCGAAGGTTATGTCACTTTTAATGGATTTGGAGCCAGCAATGTGACCCTTCGAAAACAAGAAAAAGCGTTCTTCTCTAACTAGGCAACTACAGTACCCTAGTCTGAATCTGGTACCCTTATAACTGCAATAGGAAATCTGCAAGTAGCACTGTAAATCATACTAAAATGCTACCGATGCGACCGAAACTTGGATAGAACCGTGAAATCAGCCTGAAAGATCATAACAAGGTCATATCCTGCGTGTCCTAAGGCAGCTAAAAGACTTTTTTCCAGAATGAAATATACTTACATCCTCTTACTTGAGACATCACAAGAGTCCCAGGGACATTTCAGGAGATCTCCATCAGTGTCCAACTTGACCCAAAAGTCACTTGACAAGATGAACCAAACAAACATTGTTTGCCCGGCCTATTGACGATTAGTAATTCCATCAGGTCGGGTTTCTTTCGCAGGCAAGGTTAATTCAAGCTATTTCCAATCCAGTCTTAAAATCAGGCTGTTAAATGTCCCCAAGGTCCATGAGCAATAAAGAAAATTCTCCAACTTCAGACGAAGAGCAGTTTGCAACTTCATGGTCAGTTTATCCACTGCATTAAAGGAAAGGAACGTACTATAAGTAGACTAACTCGCGAAGTTGAATGTGGGAAAAAGCGTCCTGTGGGTCTCAAAGTGTGGAGAAGTTGATCCTGAGTAATGACAAATGTATAATCATAAATTTCGCTTGTTTCTTCGCACACGTCCTTTTTCCCCTGTTTTTTTTCTTACGTGAATGCATCCTTTTCTAAAAGTGCTTATTTTGAGTCAAGAATTTTATAAAAGTAAGAAGAAAAAAAAAAAAATTGTGCTGAGCAGCAAAACCCTCCCCGGGTCTAGCCTGCGAGCAAGGTCTCTCACTGCCCCACCCCACCCAACCTCCCCCAATCCCGGCAGCAAGAGACCTTGCTCGCAGGCTAGACCCCCCCCCCCCCCCCTCCCTTCCCTTCCCTTCCCTTCCCTTCCCTTCCTTCCCTTCCCTTCCTTCCCCTCCCATCCCTCCGCCCTCTACCTATCTACCTATCTACCTACCCCCTCTACCTACCCCTCTACCTATCTACCTATCTACCTATCTATCTATCTACCTACCCCTCTACCTATCTATCTACCCCCCCTCCCGCCTGCCCCCCCTCTCCCTGCCCTCCCCGGCCCGCCGCCGGGCCGGTGTACCAACTCCCGCTTCCCATACCCTTCCCAAGGCCTTTTTTCTTCCCTCTCCTCGCCCCAAGCCCTCCCAGATCCAAGCCGCGATTTTTTTCTTTTTTTCCCTTTTTTATGCTAATCAGGCGGGATTCGAACCCGTCACCTCTTTGTTTGCCAATTCATTACCAATTCAATGCTTATGCCAATTGCGCTATCCCGGCTCGGTTACAAATTCAATGGTTTTTTTGTATGTTATTCATATGCAAATCAAATTCTTGCCCCTGATTGGCTGTTGAAAATAATGACATCATGAACCTTCGGCCCAGAGGTCCCTGAGGTCCCACAGGTCCAAGAACCAAAACAAACCAAAGTCAACCAAACATAATGGAAACTGTAGCCTTCTCGGCTTTGCGAAAGCCTCCTTTTAATCAGGATTCTTGTATCTTTCTGACGGCTGGTACATTTAAAAAAGCACTTAGCGCTTTCACGTTTTTTCCGACGGGCAATTTTGATTTTAGCTGTAAGTTGATTTTAGGTGTAAGTTTTGAAATACTTGAAATGTCCGTCGGTGCGTTTGCTTTCCGTCGGTGATCACAAGAAACAGTTTTTGTACGGTTAACAGTGATCAACATCAATTTACATTCTCGCTATATATCCTACCAGTGAACAGTATCAATCATAAAAGGCTGAAAATAGAGGAAACTGCTTAGCAGCGAAAAACATTGTGACTTCTAGTCAAATTCTCCTCGTTAGCGCCAGATGAACGGTAAAGGAATGAGTATGGAGAATGTGCATGTTAATCTCACGCCATTTACAAGTGTTCCTGTAACAAGCAAAATTGATCTTATAAATGAAAAACGCGAAGGTTATGTCACTTTTAATGGATTTGGAGCCAGCAATGTGACCCTTCGAAAACAAGAAAGAGCGTTCTTCTCTAACTAGGCAACTACAGTACCCTTGTCTGAATCTGGTACCCTTATAACTGCAATAGGAAATCTGCAAGTAGCACTGTAAATCATACTAAAATGCTACCGATGCGACCGAAACTTGGATAGAACCGTGAAATCAGCCTGAAAGATCATAACAAGGTCATATCCTGCGTGTCCTAAGGCAGCTAAAAGACTTTTTTTTCCAGAATGAAATATACTTACATCCTCTTACTTGAGACATCACAAGAGTCCCAGGGACATTTCAGGAGATCTCCATCAGTGTCCAACTTGACCCAAAAGTCACTTGACAAGATGAACCAAACAAACATTGTTTGCCCGGCCTATTGACGATTAGTAATTCCATCAGGTCGGGTTTCTTTCGCAGGCAAGGTTAATTCAAGCTATTTCAATCCAGTCTTAAAATCAGGCTGTTAAATGTCCCCAAGGTCCATGAGCAATAAAGAAAATTCTCCAACTTCAGACGAAGAGCAGTTTGCAACTTCATGGTCAGTTTATCCACTGCATTAAAGAAAAGGAACGTACTATAAGTAGACTAACTCGCGAAGTTGAATGTGGGAAAAAGCGTCCTGTGGGTCTCAAAGTGTGGAGAAGTTGATCCTGAGTAATGACAAATGTATAATCATAAATTTCGCTTGTTTCTTCGCACACGTCCTTTTTTTCCCGTTTTTTCTTACGTGAATGCATCCTTTTCTAAAAGTGCTTATTTTGAGTCAAGAATTTTATAAAAGTAAGAAAAGAAAAAATTGTGCTGAGCAGCAAAACCCTCCCCGGGTCTAGCCTGCGAGTATCGTCTCTCACTGCCCCACCCCACCCAACCTCCCCCAATCCCGGCAGCAAGAGACCTTGCTCGCAGGCTAGACCCCCCCCCCCCTTTCCTTTCCCTTCCCTTCCTTCCTTCCCTTCCCTTCCTTCCCTCCCTTCCCTTCCCCCTTCCCCCCTCCCCATCCCTCCGCCCTCTACCTATCTACCTATCTACCCCCCCCTACCTACCCCTCTACCTATCTACCTATCTACCTATCTATCTATCTACCTACCCCTCTACCTATCTACCTACCCCCCTCCCGCCTGCCCCCTCTCCCTGCCCTCCCCCGGCCCGCCCCCGGGCCGGTGTACCAACTCCCGCTTCCCATACCCTTCCCAAGCGCCTTTTTCTTCCCCCTCCTCGCCCCAAGCCCTCCCAGATCCAAGCCGCGATTTTTTTCTTTTTTTCCTTTTTATGCTAATCAGGCGGGATTCGAACCCGTCACCTCTTTGTTTGCCAATTCATTACCAATTCAATGCTTATGCCAATTGCGCTATCCCGGCTCGGTTACAAATTCAATGGTTTTTTTGTATGTTATTCATATGCAAATCAAATTCTTGCCCCTGATTGGCTGTTGAAAATAATGACATCATGAACCTTCGGCCCAGAGAGGTCCCTGAGGTCCCACAGGTCCAAGAACCAAAACAAACCAAAGTCAACCAAACATAATGGAAACTGTAGCCTTCTCGGCTTTGCGAAAGCCTCCTTTTAATCAGGATTCTTGTATCTTTCTGACGGCTGGTACATTTAAAAAAGCACTTAGCGCTTTCACGTTTTTTCCGACGGGCAATTTTGATTTTAGCTGTAAGTTGATTTTAGGTGTAAGTTTTGAAATACTTGAAATGTCCGTCGGTGCGTTTGCTTTCCGTCGGTGATCACAAGAAACAGTTTTTGTACGGTTAACAGTGATCAACATCAATTTACATTCTCGCTATATATCCTACCAGTGAACAGTATCAATCATAAAAGGCTGAAAATAGAGGAAACTGCTTAGCAGCGAAAAACATTGTGACTTCTAGTCAAATTCTCCTCGTTAGCGCCAGATGAACGGTAAAGGAATGAGTATGGAGAATGTGCATGTTAATCTCACGCCATTTACAAGTGTTCCTGTAACAAGCAAAATTGATCTTATAAATGAAAAACGCGAAGGTTATGTCACTTTTAATGGATTTGGAGCCAGCAATGTGACCCTTCGAAAACAAGAAAGAGCGTTCTTCTCTAACTAGGCAACTACAGTACCCTTAGTCTGAATCTGGTACCCTTATAACTGCAATAGGAAATCTGCAAGTAGCACTGTAAATCATACTAAAATGCTACCGATGCGACCGAAACTTGGATAGAACCGTGAAATCAGCCTGAAAGATCATAACAAGGTCATATCCTGCGTGTCCTAAGGCAGCTAAAACTTTTTTTTCCAGAATGAAATATACTTACATCCTCTTACTTGAGACATCACAAGAGTCCCAGGGACATTTCAGGAGATCTCCATCAGTGTCCAACTTGACCCAAAAGTCACTTGACAAGATGAACCAAACAAACATTGTTTGCCCGGCCTATTGACGATTAGTAATTCCATCAGGTCGGGTTTCTTTTTCGCAGGCAAGGTTAATTCAAGCTATTTCAATCCAGTCTTAAAATCAGGCTGTTAAATGTCCCCAAGGTCCATGAGCAATAAAGAAAATTCTCCAACTTCAGACGAAGAGCAGTTTGCAACTTCATGGTCAGTTTATCCACTGCATTAAAGAAAAGGAACGTACTATAAGTAGACTAACTCGCGAAGTTGAATGTGGGGAAAAAGCGTCCTGTGGGTCTCAAAGTGTGGAGAAGTTGATCCTGAGTAATGACAAATGTATAATCATAAATTTCGCTTGTTTCTTCGCACACGTCCTTTTTTTCCCGTTTTTTTTCTTACGTGAATGCATCCTTTTCTAAAAGTGCTTATTTTGAGTCAAGAATTTTATAAAAGTAAGAAGAAAAAAAATTGTGCTGAGCAGCAAAACCTCCCCGGGTCTAGCCTGCGAGCAAGGTCTCTCACTGCCCCACCCCACCCAACCTCCCCCCAATCCCGGCAGCAAGAGACCTTGCTCGCAGGCTAGACCCCCCCTCCCTTTCCCCCTCCCTTCCCTTCCCTTCCCTTCCCTTCCCTTCCCTTCCCCCTCCCATCCCTCCGCCCTCTACCTATCTACCTATCTACCTACCCCCCTCTACCTACCCCTCTACCTATCTACCTATCTACCTATCTATCTATCTACCTACCCCTCTACCTATCTACCTACCCCCCCCTCCCGCCTGCCCCCTCTCCCTGCCCCTCCCCGGCCCGCCCCGGGCCGGTGTACCAACTCCCGCTTCCCATACCCTTCCCAAGGCCTTTTTTTTCTTCCCTCTCCTCGCCCCAAGCCCTCCCAGATCCAAGCCGCGATTTTTTTTTTTTTTCCTTTTTTATGCTAATCAGGCGGGATTCGAACCCGTCACCTCTTTGTTTGCCAATTCATTACCAATTCAATGCTTATGCCAATTGCGCTATCCCGGCTCGGTTACAAATTCAATGGTTTTTTTGTATGTTATTCATATGCAAATCAAATTCTTGCCCCTGATTGGCTGTTGAAAATAATGACATCATGAACCTTCGGCCCAGAGGTCCCTGAGGTCCCACAGGTCCAAGAACCAAAACAAACCAAAATTGACCAAACATAATGGAAACTGTAGCCTTCTCGGCTTTGCGAAAGCTTCCTTTTAATCAGGATTCTTGTATCTTTCTAACCGCTGGTACATTTAAAAAAGCACTTAGCGCTTTCACGTTTTTTTCCGACGGGCAATTTTGATTTTAGCTGTAAGTTGATTTTAGGTGTAAGTTTTGAAATACTTGAAATGTCCGTCGGTGCGTTTGCTTTCAGTCGGTGATCACAAGAAACAGTTATTGTACGGTTAACAGTGATCAACGTCAATTTATATTCTCGCTATATATCCTGCCAGTGAACAGTATCAATCATAAAAGGCTGAAAATAGAGGAAACTGCTCAGCAGCGAAAAACATTGTGACTTCTAGTCAAATTCTCCTCGTTAGCGAAAGATGAACGGTAAAGGAATGAGTATGGAGAATGTGCATGTTAATCTCACGCCATTTACAAGTGTTCCTGTAACAAGCAAAATTGATCTTATAAATGAAAAACGCGAAGGTTATGTCACTTTTAATAGATTTGGAGCCAGCAATGTGACCCTTCGAAAACAAGAAAAAGCGTTCTTCTCTAACTAGGCAACTACAGTGCCCTAGTATGAATCTGGTACCCTTATAACTGCAATAGGAAATCTGCAAGTAGCACTGTAAATCATACTAAAATTCTACCGATGCGACCGAAAACTTGTGATAGAATCGTGAAATCAGCCTGAAAGATCATAACAAGGTGATATCCTGCGTGTCCTAAGGCAGCTGAAAGACTTTTATTCCAGAATGAAATATACTTACATCCTCTTACTTGAGACATCACAAGAGTCCCAGGGACATTTCCAGGAGATCCCCATCAGTGTCCAACTTGACCCAAAAGTCACTTGACAAGATGAACCAAACAAACATTGTTTGCCCGGCCTATTGACGATTAGTAATTCCATCAGGTCGGGTTTCTTTCGCAGGCAAGGTTAATTCAAGCTATTTCCAATCCAGTCTTAAAATCAGGCTGTTAAATGTCCCCAAGGTCCATGAGCAATAAAGAAAATTCTCCAACTTCAGACGAAGAGCAGTTTGCAACTTCATGGTCAGTTTATCCACTGCATTAAAGGAAAGGAACGTACTATAAGTAGACTAACTCGCGAAGTTGAATGTGGGAAAAAGCGTCCTGTGGGTCTCAAAGTGTGGAGAAGTTGATCCTGAGTAATGACAAATGTATAATCATAAATTTCGCTTGTTTCTTCGCACACGTCCTTTTTTTCCCGTTTTTTTCTTACGTGAATGCATCCTTTTCTAAAAGTGCTTATTTTGAGTCAAGAATTTTATAAAAGTAAGAAGAAATAAAATTGTGCTCATCTAATTCCGACTCAGGGAAGTTATTTCAAAATCTTTTTCCGCCGAAACAAAGGCCAGGAAAAGAAAAAAAATGATAAGAAAAGCGAAGGAAGCGGGGTTGAGAGAAAGGGAAAAGGAAAAGTCAAGACTGCTGTGTCACTTTTAAACCCAAAAACTATCTGGAAATTTTGCTTTCTGCGCATGCCTAAAATTTGCAAGCTAATGAGTTGAACAAAAGGATCGCGGCCGTCATCGCGGCCTCCGTTCGATGGGTTTTGTGGTAAAATATTCGCTTTTTACATGTTTTTAAACCGGAAAATGGCTCGAACTGCTTCAAAACCCGATTTTAGGCGAAATTCCCAGGGGAGAATGGGTTAAGCAAGAAGAATGTGCATTTTGATCTTAGGATTAACTCCTGCTCTCAGTATGATGTGAATAATCAAGAACGTACGCGAAGGTTTTGTCGCCTTAGATTTGTAGCCACTAATATGACTCTGTGATAAAAAGAAAAAAATGGGTTTCCGCTAACTAGGCAATGTCAGTGCCCCAGGATCCGGTAACTTAACTGCATTGGAAGATCTGCAAGGACACTCATAACAAATGTGTGCGAAGGGGCGACTGAAAAATGTAAGACAAATGATGATATAGGCTGGTCTTACGGTAGGAGTTTTAGGGCTAAGACGACATTCCCATAGCTTTTGAATCAGTTTGTCCAGCCTATTAACGTTTTGAAAATTCACCACCGTTTTCTCTTCGCAGGCAGGTGATTGTGAATTAAAACTACTATCAACAGAATCTTACATAATCTTATTAATACTAATACTACTACTACTACTGCTGGTAGTGGTAGTGGTAGTAGTAGTAGTAGTGGTAGTGGTAGTGGTAGTGGTAGTGGTAGTGGTAGTGGTAGTGGTAGTGGTAGTGGCAGTGGTAGTGGTAGTGGCAGTGGCAGTGGCAGTGGCAGTGGCAGTGGCAGTGGTAGTGGCAGTGGTAGTGGTAGTGGCAGTGGCAGTGGCAGTGGCAGTGGCAGTGGCAGTGGCAGTGGCAGTGGCAGTGGCAGTGGCAGTGGCAGTGGCAGTGGCAGTGGCAGTGGCAGTGGCAGTGGCAGTGGCAGTGGCAGTGGCAGTGGCAGTGGCAGTGGCAGTGGCAGTGGCAGTGGCAGTGGCAGTGGCAGTGGCAGTGGCAGTGGCAGTGGCAGTGGCAGTGGTAGTGGCAGTGGCAGTGGCAGGGCAGTGGCAGTGGCAGTGGCAGTGGCAGTGGCAGTGGCAGTGGCAGTGGCAGTGGCAGTGGCAGTGGCAGTGGCAGTGGCAGTGGCAGTGGCAGTGGCAGTAGTAGTAGTAGTAGTAGTAGTAGTAGTAGTAGTAGTAGTAGTAGAAATATTATTATTATTATTATTATCATTATTATTATTGTTATTATTATTATTATCTTTTTTAATGGAATACCATAGTACAACAGAATAGCCGAGCCCATTCCTTGAGCTTAGGGTGAGAATGAGGTAGAAGTCTATTATTTTGATGGAGAGTGCCTTTGTTAGGATGTGAGATGTTCCAAGTAGTGTGATCTTCTGTCGTTCATGCATTTTGATGTTACCCACAATCTGTTGTACATATTTTCCCAACCCTTTCTTGATTAGTACCATGACCCCTATCACTACCGGAATTGTTGTAGCTTTTATCCCCCACATTCTTTCACCTTTGATTTCAAGGTCTTTCAGTTACTTTATCTGAAGTGTTCTTTCCAGTGGGGATGGACATATCAATGAGCAGGCAGCTTGTTTCGTGTTTGTTCTTGATTACAATGTCTGGTCTTTGGCCTTTCTCTTAATATCTGTTTGTATATATTGGCATTTGCCACAAGATTGTGATGTTGTCTTGTTACTGTTTGGGGCTCATACTCATACCATTTCTCCTTTGTGTCTATATTCATATCTTTGCAGATGTCAGTCTAGGTATGAGCATGGCAGCTTTGTTGTGTCTGTGTAGGTATTCAGTTTTGGCCAGCTCAGGTCACCCTGCCACAATATGGTGAATAGTTTCCTGAAATTGACCACAAATCCTGTGCATTAGGTCTGTGCCATCTTTTAGGATCTTGCTACGACAGTAGTTGGTCTTGATGGCCTGATCTTAGGCAGCAATAATAAAGCCATGGCCTGTTTCGGAATGTGCCCAGCTGTCTTCAGCCCTTGGTCATTTGATGGTCCACATCTTTTTCCTTTACTCTTTCTGGTATTGCCCATGAATTGGTTTACCTTCCCACTTTTGTTTCAATTGATCTGGGCATGGCACCTTGCTTTCTGTCTAACTTTTCTGGCATAGAAAGTTGGAGCGTCATTCTCAGGTTCCAGAGTTTCAAGGAGGTTGAAAATTGAAAATTGTAGCCTGGCTAGATATGGATACTTTTTCGTCTTGTTTTGTTTTGTTTTGTTTTTTTTTTCATGCTCTTTAGCAATCAGGAGAAGAGGGTCATTTGTGGTGTCAAGGTAAGTATTGAAGCCTATTGTAGCTGTTTTTATAGGCCGTTTCCAATTGGATCATGCAGGCCCCTACCACCCTCATTTCTGGGAAGGTACATTCTATCCATGTCAGCTTTTGGGTGGTGCATCCTTTGTAAGGTGAGTAATTTTCTTGATTTTCTCGTCTGTTTGTCTGATCTCTTCCATTTCCAGTCAATGATATTAAAGCTGTAAGCTACAACTGGTATAGCAAGTGTGTTGATGGCTTACACTCTGTTTATAAGCACAGCTATTGGATGGCTTGCTGGAGTCCTCCTCAAACATCAAGTCACTGTTGTGACCTTAGGTGTGTAAGACCTTATAAAGGATTCTGGCTGTGCCCAGAAAGCACGCTCTCTGCAATTATTATTATTATTATTATTATTATTATTATTATTATCATCATCATCATCAGCATTATCATCATCATCAGCATTATCATTACATGTCCCCCAAGTGTATGCAGACCTGCAGACAAAGTGGAATATTTTCAAAGTCCCTAAAGCATTCAATGACCTTAGTTTCATGATAAGTTCTGTTAGATTTTTCTCAAAAAACATCTATAGACATGGCTGAGTTACACTTTTTTTTCCAATGGCTGCACTTTGTTTGGAGAAAGGATTCATAAAATATAATAAATATGTTTAAAAGGATTGTTGAAAATTTTTTCCCG